ACTGAGTATATAATGTATACTGAGTGTATATTGTACACTGAGTGTATATTGTACACTGAGTATATATTGTACACTGAGTATATATTGTACATTGAGTGTATAATGTATACTGAGTGTATATTGTACACTGAGTATATAATGTATACTGAGTATATAATGTATACTGAGTGTATATTGCACACTGAGTATATATTGTACATTAAGTGTATATTATACACTGAATGTATATTGTACACTGACTGAGTGTATATTGTACACTGAGTGTATATTGTATTGTTCACTGAATATATATTGTACACTGAGTGTATATTGTACACTGAGTATATAATGTACACTGAGTATATAATGTATACTGAGTGTATATTGTACACTGAGTATATATTGTACATTGAGTGTATATTATACACTGAGTGTATATTGTACACTGAGTGTATATTGTACACTGAGTATATATTGTACACTGAGTGTATATTGCACACTGACTGAGTGTATATTGTACACAGAGTGTATATTGTACACATAGTATATATTGTACACTGAGTGTATATTGCACACTGAGTATATATTGTACACTGAGTATATATTGTACACTGAGTATATATTGTACACTGAGTATATATTGTACACTGAGTGTATATTGAGTGTATATTGTACACTGTGTATATAATGTATACTGAGTGTATATTGTACACTGAGTATATATTGTATACTGAGTGTATATTGTACACTGAGTATATATTGTACACTGAGTATATAATGTATACTGTGTATATAATGTATACTGAGTGTATATTGTACACTGAGTATATATTGTATACTGAGTGTATATTGTACACTGAGTATATATTGTACACTGAGTATATATTGTATACTGAGTATATAATGTATACTGAGTGTATATTGTACACCCAGTGTATACATGTACGGTACACTGAGTGTATATTGTACGCTGAGTATATATTGTATACTGAGTGTATATTGTATTGTTCACTGAATATATATTGTACACTGAGTGTATATTGTACACTGAGTATATAATGTACACTGAGTATATAATGTATACTGAGTGTATATTGTACACTGAGTATATATTGTACATTGAGTGTATATTGTACACTGACTGAGTGTATATTGTACACTGAGTATATATTGTACACTGAGTATATATTGTACACTGAGTGTATATTGCACACTGACTGAGTGTATATTGTACACAGAGTGTATATTGTACACAGAGT